AAATAACTCGGTTATTTTGGACTTATTTGAAAAACGGTAAAGAGAAAATATCTTCTAAAAAATCTACCTATTCTTGTATCGAGATCTACCAACCCTGAAAATATTTGCACTTATTTAAGACTCACCATGTATAACTCTGTGGTACCAAATTATTGTTCCCGCATATATGCTAATGAGTCACCATCGTTCCATTTGAAAAAATTGAGTTATGATTATTTTTGCACTTTCAATGATTAACTATGAACCCTTCCCGGACACAAACGGTACATTGTGAGACAGGAAATTGTAGAGAGAAACAAGCCCTATAACATAGGATACAACATTTTAATGAACAGAGCTTTCCATAAAATTAATAAAACGAAAAATATACGAAATAATATAAGTACATGTACTGATTTCTTTCGAAAATCGACAACTATGAAACTATAAACCCTTCCCGGATACAAACGGTACATTGTGAGACAGGAAATTGTAGATAGAAACAAGCCTTATAACGTAGGATACAACATTTTAATGAACAGTGCTTTCCATAAAATCAATAAAACGAGAAATATACGAAATAATATAAGTACATGTACTGATTTCTTTCGAAAATCGACAACTATGAAACTATAAACCCTTCCCGGATACAAACGGTACATTGTGAGACAGGAAATTGTAGATAGAAACAAGCTTTATAACGTAGGATACAACATTTTAATGAACAGTGCTTTCCATAAAATCAATAAAATGGAAAATATACGAAATAATATGCATGTACTGATTTCTTTCGAAAATCGACAACTATGAAACTATGAACCCTTCCCGGACTCAAACGGTACATTGTGAGACAGAAACTGTAGAGAGAAACAAGCCTTATAACATAGGATACAACATTTTAATGAACGGTGCTTTCCATAAAATCAATAAAATGAAAAATATACGAAATAATAGGTATACATGTACTGATTTCTTTCGAAAATCGACAACTGTGAAACTATGAACCCTTCCCGGACACACAGCGGTACATTGTGAGACAGGAAATTGTAGAGAGAAACAAGGCCCTATAACATAGGATACATTGTATATTTAATACACAATGAATTGATTTATATTTGCACTTATTTAAGACTCACCCTGTATATTATGCTTTTTTTATTAATTCGAACGCACTATTTTTGCAACAACCGTTATATTAATAAATCTAAATAGTTGTTCATTATCTCGTGCCGCCATGCAAAATATTTATATAAGGGTCAATACTTAAGTGTAGGATTGATTATTATGCAAATATTAGGTAAATTTATTATGGAATATTTAATTAATATAAAGAAACGGTAAAATAGAGAGTTTGCGTTCATTTTGTCTTACGAGTTCGTGCTTTACTATAATATAAAATAATAAACGTAATAAATAATTTTAAATATTTTTAGTAAGAAAAATAAATAATTCTTGGGTCACCTCTATAACTTTTTTATTTTTTCAGATAAAAAAACGAGATTTTTATGTTAGTATATGACATAAATTAAGATTGATTGACGTATTCAAATGTTTTTGATCACTTCCTGTTTCACCGGAAATTACTACAACTTTTGATTTTTAAATCACACTTTCGGTATTTATTTACTTCATTTGATAGAAAATGACATTCTGAAGAAAGTGACAAATCATAATATGGCAACTTTTGACATTTTTAATGTCACGTCAATTTAGATTCAAGAATGTGGTACCAAATTATTCATAAAAATATGCTTTTACCAAATATGTTAATGAGCCACCCCCATTCCCTTTGAATCAGTTGAGTTATGATTAAAAATACGATTTGAGCATCTTATAACCGGCCAGGATGAGACACGAACAACATTCTGCGATCAAATCAATTCTTCCAAGACTTCTTGATTAAAATTAGTGTTTTTAACACAGCATGATGGCACTCTAAATTTAAATTTAAAATACAACTTTTTTAAGCGAGAATGTCAAAAGTTGACATATGATATGTCATTCTATTCATCAGAGTATCATTTTCTATCGAATAAAGTTGTAGTCATTTTCGGTGAAACAGAAAGTGGCCGGAAACAATTGAATACGTCAATCCATCCTGATTTATGTCATATACAAACGTACCAAATCTCGTTTATTTATCAGAAAGAATAAAAATGTTATAGGGGTGAGCCACTTTTGAGAAACATTTTGTATATGAAAATATAAAAAAATAAAATCGCAAGCCAAGTCATATCAAAATTAATGAAAGTTGAAGAATTGTCTCGATAAATCTTCTAAATGAAATAACTGTCTAAGAAAAATAATAGAACTGACCTATAGTAGGTATTAACTGTAATATAATATTGTTATACATATAAAAAACGGTTTAAGAATATCTTGCCTGACCTCGACATGCAATGTATTTCATGTACTGCTATAGCAAATTTTCTGAGTTATTGAATGGTAACTGTAAATTGAATGAAAATATTGCATTTACATATAACTAGTTCTTCGCAAATGTCAAAGAAAATAATTTATTTAACATTTTCTTTATGAAATCATAAAAATAATTAATAATTCTAAATCTATTTCAAAATCTTTAATATGCATTTGCATGACACGTTCACATTAGAATTATTTTCCAAAATATAATACCATCTTTTAAAATCGAAATCTGGCACAGTATAACATTTTTAATGTACTTTTATTCGCATAGTTAATTCGAGTTCTGAAACTGAAACATATACAGATTTAGTTTAATTTCTTGAGTAAGTGTTTATATGAAAAGTTCAGTTCAGAAATTCATTAAAATAGAGTCCAATATATTATAATTGAAACAAATTAAAATGTTCAAAAAAAGGCGAATCCTTCACACGCAAATTGTGGAATTCCCAAGTGGCATTTTTGGACACATTTTAGGTAATGTTTCTAATAATCGTGTCTGTTTCTTGACACAAAATGCAAACGGAATGCCACAAATAGGAAACATTTTCGAAACCTATATATTTTATATGGCTTTACTACATTATGTGTTTCCAATGTGGCGACACTAGCCGTTTCCTGGCGAATTATTCGATACGGAATCAAAACTTTTAAAACTTTTTTTCTAAATGCAAAAAATAAAATACCAAACTAAAATAGTCTGTCTGTGTGTGGATTACAAGGGTTAGTCACCTGTCAACAATGCGAATCGAAACTTTTCAAACCATTTAAACATTTTTTTATTTACTTATTATAACACAATTAAAACATGAAAACATGTTTTGGAAACAAGAGAAAAAACGTCTCCAGTTGGGTAAGGGTAGTAGCTGTTATTACATTTATTCCTAAAACAAATTATCCCTATAATGCGTATAATAAATAATTATAGAATCGTATAAGAAAAATAACTGTATTTGTACTCACCATATCGTCTATACCGGGTGAGTCTCAAAAGTGGCTCACCCCCTATAACTTTTTTATTTTTTCAGATTAAAAAACGAGATTTGGTATGTTAGTATATGACTTCTATATTACTATTTACACTTACTGTCACCGGAAATGACTATAACTTTTGATTTTTAAATGGCACCCTTGGTATTTTTTTTACTTTATTCGATATAAAATGACATTCTGAATAGAATGACATATCACATGTCAACTTTTGACATTATCGCTTAATAAAAAATCTTATTTTAATTTTCAATCTAGAGTGCCATGGCTATGTTAGGAACACTAATTCTTAGTCAAGAAGCCTTGGAAAAATAGATTTGATCGTGTAATGTTTTTAGTGTCTTATCCTGGCCGGTTAAAAAATATTAAAATCTTATTTTTATTCATATCTCAACTTTTTTAAACGGAACGAGGGTGGCTCATTAGCATATTTGGAAAAAGCATTTTTACGAATAATTTGATATCACACTCTTAGTATTTCGAGTCAAAGTTTCGTTACGAACCGCAAGTTATAAACTCAAATAAACCATATACGAAAATGTCAAAAGTTGACATATATGTCATTCTATTCTGAGTGTTATTTTCTATCAAATAAATTAAAAAAATACCGAGGGTGCTACTTAAAAATCAAAAGTTGTAATCCGGTGAAACAGGAAGTGACCGAAAGCAATTGAATATGTCAATCAATCCTAATTTATGTCATATACTAACATACCAAATCTCGTTCTTTTAACTGAAAAAATAAAAAAATTATAGGGGTGAGCCACTTTTGAGACGCACCCGGTAAGCTTCCTTATGCTTTTTTAATTACACTAGAAAACTTGAAGAATGCTTAAATTGTTAACTCTTCCCCATTTTGCAAAAACTGCAGATCAAAATTCAAACAATAAAGTAAGATTATGTTCTCATATTTGACAGAAAATATATCATATAAATTATAGAAACTTTTTAGGCACAAAACGGGTACGAAACCATTGTAAATGTGAGCCTATTTCTTAAAAGTTTCGAAAATTTGTGACACTAAGATCTCTATTCTTATAGCTTATGTAGCGAAACCATATTTTGGTAAAATGTTTCGAAACAAAAAGCCATTTATGTTACGAAATATATATATCGAAAACGTGTGGGATTAACTTTAGAACTTTTGTGCCTTAACTAAACCATTTCGCAATGTTACTCAACGGAGATTTTGTTTCCATTTTGTTTCTAAAAATACTACTTGGGTTAATGTATGATAAAATTAATATAAATTTTACATAAACGATTTATTTGTGTCAGTATAACAGAAATTATCCTCGTTTCAGTTATATTTTCCATTACACAATACCCTTAACATAGTTTGCGAACTCATACTATGCTACAATTTTTTATTGTTATGATTTTGTATTCCCTTATTTTACATATTATCGTTAATTTTAGTATAACATTTTCAGACTTAAACTCCCTAATAAACCTTGCATACCAATTCCATAACTGCGTCTTATTTCGATACAACCTAAACCAAAAAAAAACTTAACGTAAATTGCTGCTAGTCGCAACTACTAGATACTAGAAAGGCAAACAACATTCTACCGAGTATTACTCAATCCGTTTCATTAATTTTGCAGCATTATGTCGGTGCAAAGGCCGTCAGTCGCCTGCGTACCACCGCCGCTGCCGCCCAAAACCAAGTCCAGAAGGTCCTTGGACGACTACCAGGAGACCAGACGCAGCTTCAGCGACAGAAGGAATAACCAGGAGGATACTAACGGCTACCAGAACGGTGGTACCATCGCGGATCGCAAATCCATCTTCGCCGGCCGTAATCGAACAACGGTTAATCTCGGCACCGTTGCCGATCTGAACATTCCATCGCCGCCGGTGGCCGGTGCAGTTCACGGGGACTCTGTGTACTCTTCTTTTGGTAGTGGTACTGGTAAAAGTGTGGGTGGAGGAGGTGGAGGCGGTCACGTGGTCAAGATACTGATCAACCCCCAGGAGACGCGGCTAGTGAACGAAGAGGAGGAGGTGATTGATGCGGGGGTAGGGAAAAATGTGAATAGTGAGGTGTCGCATCAGGGTGAGGCGTGCATTAGGATTTCGGGTGAGTAGTTAGCTATAACGTAATTAAATTTAAATAGAATACATTAGGTAATAACATTCTACGGTAGAGGGTGGCGCCTCTCATACGCCGCGGAGGCTCCAAGGAGAACGACAGTTTGTATTGAAATGAAATTTTGTGAGCATATGTAGGTTAATTCAGAGCACTTTTTAAAAATATAGAGTTCTACAGGGTGTCCCCAAAAAAAGTTACGTATCATAGTTATATCTATATATTAATTGATTTTCGGATTCTGGGAGAAAAATAAAGGTGAGTTTACAAGAGAAGTATATGACTAAATTGTAAGGTTTTTGACATATTTAACATTTTCTAGAAATATAGAACAATTTTTAAATTACAATAAAAACTACCTAAATTGGAATTTACCCGGTATAGCCTAATATATAGTTAAATTAACTATTGTACTTTAAATCAAATTAAAACTTGATCGAAAAAGTTATACAGGGTGAGACAAAATTAATATTGAACATTGGTCACCTTTAAAAGCATGTTACTCTTTTATTTTAAATGGAACACCCAGTATATTATTCCGATATTCAATGGAGAATGCATGTCTCTTCAAAATACTATTAGGGTTGCCTACTCCTCAAACAAAGACTTTCCTAGATATTTTCATTTACATGATTTGATCTAAGTAGATCTTTCTTATTTGATAAAATCTAGGTGGCTGTGATATGGTCTGACGTTACTTCAACATAGCTGTCTAATTAGTCCAACTTTGCCAACTAGTTATCATTTTGTGTCAGTTAAAACAAAAAAATTCTCAGAAATTTGCCAAAAATTCAAACTTATCCTACATCAGAGAAAATTGATATGATCCTATTAGTTGTGAATGCAGTATGCATTCACCAATTAATAGAATACTTAAATGCTCCTGATTTTATCTAGTCTGTTTTTTTATGGGGATATGTTAAAGACAGTGTTTACAAAACTCGACCAACTATTGTCGACAACATGATAGAAATTATTGTAGCTGCTTTTTGAGGTAGACTTCCACATATACCTTTTAAAATGAAAATATCCTTTTGAAAAGACAATCATTTTATGCAATTAACGGGAAAGGAAGCATTTTGAGCATTTGATTTCATCTAGTTAATTTTTGTCACATAATTATAGGTTTATGTCTAGTTTTAATTCTGTAATAATTAAAATATGTTTTAAATGTGTATCTTTTTGTTTCCGTTGAGTATTTTACTCTACAATCTTTAATTTTTGTTAAATTAACAAAAGGTATACCACATAGTCACCTAGATTTTTTCAAATAATAAAGATCTACTGACGCAAAATCATAAAAATTAAAATGTCTTTGTCCGAGGGGTATGCAACCTTAATAATATTTTGAAGATATATAAATTTCCCATTGAACACCGGAATAATATACTGGGTGTTCCATTCAAAAGAAAGGAGTAACTTGCTTTTAAAAGTGACTAATGTTTCACATTAGTTTTGTCTTACCCTGTATAACTTTTTGGCTCAAATTTCAATTTGGTTTAACATACAATGGTTACTGTAATTAAATATCAGGCTATACAGGGTCAACTAAAATTTAGATAGCTGTTATTGAATTTTAAAATTTACTCTTCATTTTCACAAAATGTGAAATATGTCAAAATCTTTAGATTTTAAGTATATGCTTTTTTAATAAAACTCACCTTTATTTTTTTCCTAGAATCCGAAAATCAATTAATATATAGGGTGTTCCATTAAAAAAAAACACAACTTTGATGTGTAACTTTTTTTTGGGGACACCCTGTATAATTCTATATATTTTTATAAAATGCTTTCAGTTAACCTACATATGCTGCCAAAATTTCATTTCGATATAAACTACCGTTCTCCTTGGAGCTTCCACGGCGTATGAGAGGCGCCACCCTGTACACAGGGTGGCGATGGCGCCTCTCATACGCCGCGGAAGCTTCAAGAAAAACAGTAGTTTATATCGAACTGAAATTTATGTAGGTTAACTCAGAGCATTTTATAAAAATTTATAGAATTATACACGGTGTCCCCAAAAAAAGTTACACATCACAGTTGTGTTTTTTCTAATGAAACACCCTATATATTAATTGATTTTCGGATTCTAAGAAAAAAATAAAGGTGAGTTTTATTAAAGAAGCATCTACCTAAAATCAAAGGATTTTGACATATTTCACATTTTGTGAAAATGAAGAGTAAATTTTAAATTTCAATAATAGCTACCTAAATTTTAGTTGATATATTGTATAGTCTGTATAGCCTGATATTTAATTACTGTCTTGTATAGCCGGATATTTAATTACAGTAACCATTGTATGTTAAACCAAATTGAAATTTGAACCGAAAAGTTATACAGGGTGAGACAAAATTAATATGGAACATTAGTCACTTTTTCAAAAGCAAGTTTCTCCTTTATTTTAAATGGAACACTCAGTATATTATTCCGGTGTTCAATGGGAAATTTATATATCTTCAAAATATTATTAAGGTTGCATACCCCTCAGACAAAGATTTTCCTAGACATTTTAATTTTTATGATTTTGCGTCAGTAGATCGTTATTATTTGAAAAATAGTGATATACCTTTTGTTAATTTAACAAAAATTAAAGATTGTAGAGTAAAATACTCAACGGGAATAAAAAGATACAAGTTTAAAATATATTTTAATTATTACAGAATTAAAACTACATATAAACCTATAATTATTTGACAACAATTAGCTAGATGAAATCTTTGTTTGAGGGGTAGGCAACCTTAATAGTATTTTGAAGAGACATCAATTTTCCATTGAATATCGGAATAATATACTGGGTGTTCCATTTAAAATAAAAAAGTAACATGTTTTGAAAGGTTACCAATGTTCAATATTAATTTTGTCTGACAATTTTTTAAAAACCCTTGAATATTTTTAAAAATTAGTAAGTAGGCTTTAAAAGATATACTGAACAATTACTTTTATCTTTTCGTCATTTCTGACTGCTTTTTACCAAGTTTAAAGGACAATATTTTAATTCAATAATTTAATGAAGTGATGTTCATAATATTTAGCTACATTGACAATGATATATTTTTGAAGCACTGAAAGGAACCTTAATAGTATTTTTTGTTATACTGGGTGTTCCATTTAAAATAAAAGAGTAACATGCTTTTAAAGGTGACCAATGTTCAATATTAATTTTGTCTCACCCTGTATAACTTTTTGGATCAAGTTTTAATTTGATTTAAAGTACAAGAGTTAATTGTAATAATCTAATAGTCTAATATGTAGTTATATTAGGCTATACCGGGTAAATTCGAATTTAGGTAGTTTTTATTGTAATTTAAAAATTGTTCTTTATTTCTATAAAATGTTAAATATGTCAAAAACCTTACATTTTAGTCATATACTTCTCTTATAAAACTCACATTTATTTTTCCCACAGAATTCGAAAATCAATTAATATATAGGGTGTTCCATTACTAAAACCCAACTTTGATATATAACTTTTTTGGGAGACACCCTGTAGAACTCCCTATATTGTCAAAAAGTGCTCTGAATTAACTTACATATGCTCAAAACTTCATCTCAATACAAACTGTCGTTCTCGTTGGAGCCTCCGCGGCGTATGAGAGGCGTCACCCTGTACACTACTGTACAGGGTGGGTCAAATGGGACATTTTTAAAGGGAAACACCTTTTTCTTTCGGAGATAGACAAAAACTAATATCGGTGTGTGCAGCTCAATTTTTTTTTCAAAAACATGATGGTAAAAGCCATCAAAATTTTCATAGCAAAAAAGTTACAGCGGTTTGTTAATAATGCACACTTTTAACAAACACTCCGTAACTCCGAAACGGTAACAGACATCGATGTCCGGTTTTTACTCTCATATTTTTGATAAAAAATCAGCTCCAGACACCTATAGAAATTGATTTTTCCCTTTAAAATTTTATAATTTGGCTCACCGTTTACATAATGGTATTTTTTTCTATAGAGATAATTTTCCAGGAAATTGTTAGTAACTCTTATAACTAACATCTATAAATCGTCTACTGTTAAAGAAATAGTACCTGCATTGAAAAACAAAAAAATGGTGTGTTGTGGTAAACTAATGCTCTATTTTAAAATCGATTTAATTGTTCATTGATGAGATTCGGCACAAATTGTGGCTATATTTCAATTACATCCAATGAAAATAATATAAATTTGCTATAATTTTGTGTTAAAGAGATCCAAATGCCAAAATTTAACTTGCGAGGAAATAAAAAAAATAATTTAAACTTAACAATGAGAAATTAAGGAAAAAATATGAAAATGTATTAATTAAAGCAGCAATACAATAGTTTTATAATTTTACAAAATTAAAATGGAAATCACTGATTCTTTTAATGTTGTCTCTAATTTGATTTACACTGAATATTCAAGACTAAACTAAGACAGCGCGAGAAACAAAGTGAAAACAAGCAAGAAATTACGGCTATCCTTGGCACTTAGGCCCCTCTTCATAAAAAGACCTGTTAAAACACGACAGAATCATTATTTAAATATTTTTAGTTCAGATATAGACAGAGATCCCTTTCTAATCATAGGCCATAGATTTTTTTTATGAAAAGAAAAAATCAATATTGAAGAATTTGCCACTTAGATGCTTTGAGAATACCACGCTTATAATACTTATGAAGAATACCATGCTTATAATACGAATACTACAGTCTGTTAATGCAAAAATAATTCGCGCGAAGCAAGTATTTGACATAATTTGACACAAGTTATAACCTGTAATTTGGCAAGTGTTTGACAAGCCTCAAAAATCTTAAGTCGCGTTCATACGCATCTGCGTCCGTGAATCGTTCATCGTTCCGTCACTCCAATAATATTGAAATATGATCTGGCATTTAAATGAAATAAACCAATAACACTGGTTAAAAACAACAAGAGACGACACATGACGGATTCATATACAGGGTTGTCCACCACATACGACACGGAGTATTGTAGCTAAACGATTAGATTTTTACAGATTGTAA